CCAAGATTTTACGAGTTGGGCATTTCTCCTTATACTAACACACACAAAAGCCATCCTTAGCATAAACGTAGCATAAATGTTGTTTAATTTTTCTTGGAATTTTCACTATTGGGGAACTGGGTTCGAAATAAAAGGAACGCCTGTCGCTTTTTTTTGTTTATCTTCTTCGTATTTATTTTAAAGCTGATGTTGTAACAAATAATAAAAAAATCCATGCGGCCCGAAAAAAGGAGGCGGGCGGGGACGATAAACATATGTTTTTTTTTACTTGGCCTAAGTGCCATGTTCTCATGTTTGAGAATTAATTCAAATTTGTACAATTTCACAGCTTATGTGTAGAAATTGATTATGTATAATGTTTGGTACAGTTAAGGGACTGGAATCATGATATCAAAAAAAAACATCAAGTGAGAAACTAATTTAACAAAACAATGTATGTGTATAGTAAATATCATTGCCACGTGATTGCAATTTGTCGTATGTAGAGTAAATTGAAAATTTTGAAGTATATTTGACAATTGACAATTTTCTTTTGCATTTAATTAGTACAATTTCGTGTTTTTTTTTTTCCAAAATATTTGACAAACATAATATTTTAGGTTTATGAAAAAGCTTTGAAATTAATATCAACATTGTGTCAATGTACTTAGTAAAGTAGATATCGAATATGATAATAAAACAGCAAAAAGATTATTCGTTGCCCTGAGGGAATTGAAGAACGCCATACGGTCAGGACAGTGATCTTGTGTAATAAGCCAAGCGAAGCAATCGGACGTTGGTTGGCAAACAAACCGCGTAAAACGCCCAAAAATCTGAAATATACTTTAGAATAAAACAAACTTACAAATGCATAAAAAGTTGTGCGCTAGCTCTTGCCACGTAAAAGAGTTTGTATTCGTTGTTTAAAAGAAGTTTATAACTAAACTTCGAAAACGAGTCGAGTCAGAAAAGCTACAGAAATATAATTCGATACCGCTGACACAAGAGATCTCCTTGACGACGGTCACGTGGAATGGTTACGGTTCCATCACTCATACACGATGACATTATGACGAGAGCCTTCCGAAAAGGCCTCTCGTCACAAAAATAATAAATAAAAATAAAGTCGCTGCATAAAGTATCGTGCAGTTTGATTGTTTCATAGAAGTGCAACCGTTACACGCAACCTACCCAACCTTCCTTATAAAACTCATTAATAATGCATGAAATATTCAGGAGGAGCCGACGGGGTCTGTTCTTCTAAATAACTGTTCTTGTACGAATATTTTCCTGGGAAAGGGATTTTGAGCTACATTGTTGACAATCTCACAAGGAAATGTGGCGCCCTTTTATTCCTTCTTTATAAAAATTTTGGACTTCCTGTATACGATTCGAATCCACAGTGTTGGTGCGAATAATTGTTTTCTTTTCGTAAGTTTAATGTATTCTGTTCTTTTGTTCTAATCGTTTAAGTATTGTAAAGTAGTGTAATTAAGTCAGTTCACTTCAACGTTTTAACGGAACTCACTACAAACTATCTTGTAAGTATTCTTTCAGTTTTTTCGTATTTTGGCCTTTTTTGTATTGTTCGTTTATTGACTTTTGTAATGTAACATTTTAGGAACCGTTCGTTTGTAATTAACGTACAGTAGCAATGTAAATAAACGTCAACGACGAGTACAAGAAGTTTGGCTATTATACACAGTTTCAATGAAGAACATCGCAAGGATTCTGGATTCCACCATATTCGATTCAGAAAGCATCCTTGTTTTTATTTGTTTTGTAGTCATTGATTCGTTTGCAGTTTAGGGAACATGACTAATTTATTTCCAATGATTTTTCTCCCGGAATAACCTCCTTCTAAGCATTATAATTTTCTTTTATTTCTATAGCATGTTTATCATAGTGCCATGCGGCCCTCATATTCATAATTTAGGGAACAGTCAAAGTCACTAATTTGGATTTCGGATTCACTGGAAAAAATCGCGCCCTTTAAAGGTTGTAAATTTGATGTAAATGATTTCCATTAAATTTACAGAATTTTGGACACTTACATCATATTTACATCAAATTTACAGCCTTTGAAAGTGCGCGATTTTTTCCAGTGATTCCTCTTGTTTTATCGGATTCAAAAGTCAACATTTTGTGACTTTCAGTATTTCCGTGCCATGGGACAATTGAAAATTAGGCGTACATGTCCGTCCAACCCATTTTCTTTAGCTATTACACTCATGTGTTTTTAAAAATAACTATTAAAATGTATTATATTTTCTCAGAATCTATGCCAACTTGTACCTTGTCAAAATGGAGGCAGTTGTATATATGACAGTGAAACGAACAAACGTTCCTGTACCTGCAAGAAGGCTTACACTGGAGAGAACTGCGAAGTCGGACCAATAGGTGAATTTGATTTCCCATTTTTTCACAGTCCTGTTCATTACCAGTTTTCTGGCTGACGTCACAAGATGGCGTCCAAAGTCCTGTATTCAGTACTCAACGTTGAATTTTGAAATAACTGTTTGAGTTATAAAGGAATATTGAAATTTGAATCAGTTTCCATGTAAGCCAAAAAAGTGAAGAGTTTATTTCGTCTGTCTTACTGTCCAGGATTCGACAACTCTTCGTAACGTTCGTTCGAGAAATTGCGTCGTAGCTCGAGTGCAAACAGCGAGAGAGACTTGGAGCTTGTCTAAAAACTGTTTTTATGGAAATGAAAAGTCCTTTGTTGATCATCATGGATTTGTCGTTTCTTTTAGGAGGTCTCGAGAACTCGGCAATCCTTGTGAATACAGACAACAATAGTTATGCAGCCGCTCTTGCTGGATTCCTCGATCCGGCATTGAAACCATTCGGGCCTGGAACATGGATAAGATGTTTTCGTGCTGTACCAGGGCACTGGGATACCCGGATGTACTTTCATCCTCAGTGNGGTTCCATCACTCATACACGATGACATTATGACGAGAGCCTTCCGAAAAGGCCTCTCGTCACAAAAATAATAAATAAAAATAAAGTCGCTGCATAAAGTATCGTGCAGTTTGATTGTTTCATAGAAGTGCAACCGTTACACGCAACCTACCCAACCTTCCTTATAAAACTCATTAATAATGCATGAAATATTCAGGAGGAGCCGACGGGGTCTGTTCTTCTAAATAACTGTTCTTGTACGAATATTTTCCTGGGAAAGGGATTTTGAGCTACATTGTTGACAATCTCACAAGGAAATGTGGCGCCCTTTTATTCCTTCTTTATAAAAATTTTGGACTTCCTGTATACGATTCGAATCCACAGTGTTGGTGCGAATAATTGTTTTCTTTTCGTAAGTTTAATGTATTCTGTTCTTTTGTTCTAATCGTTTAAGTATTGTAAAGTAGTGTAATTAAGTCAGTTCACTTCAACGTTTTAACGGAACTCACTACAAACTATCTTGTAAGTATTCTTTCAGTTTTTTCGTATTTTGGCCTTTTTTGTATTGTTCGTTTATTGACTTTTGTAATGTAACATTTTAGGAACCGTTCGTTTGTAATTAACGTACAGTAGCAATGTAAATAAACGTCAACGACGAGTACAAGAAGTTTGGCTATTATACACAGTTTCAATGAAGAACATCGCAAGGATTCTGGATTCCACCATATTCGATTCAGAAAGCATCCTTGTTTTTATTTGTTTTGTAGTCATTGATTCGTTTGCAGTTTAGGGAACATGACTAATTTATTTCCAATGATTTTTCTCCCGGAATAACCTCCTTCTAAGCATTATAATTTTCTTTTATTTCTATAGCATGTTTATCATAGTGCCATGCGGCCCTCATATTCATAATTTAGGGAACAGTCAAAGTCACTAATTTGGATTTCGGATTCACTGGAAAAAATCGCGCCCTTTAAAGGTTGTAAATTTGATGTAAATGATTTCCATTAAATTTACAGAATTTTGGACACTTACATCATATTTACATCAAATTTACAGCCTTTGAAAGTGCGCGATTTTTTCCAGTGATTCCTCTTGTTTTATCGGATTCAAAAGTCAACATTTTGTGACTTTCAGTATTTCCGTGCCATGGGACAATTGAAAATTAGGCGTACATGTCCGTCCAACCCATTTTCTTTAGCTATTACACTCATGTGTTTTTAAAAATAACTATTAAAATGTATTATATTTTCTCAGAATCTATGCCAACTTGTACCTTGTCAAAATGGAGGCAGTTGTATATATGACAGTGAAACGAACAAACGTTCCTGTACCTGCAAGAAGGCTTACACTGGAGAGAACTGCGAAGTCGGACCAATAGGTGAATTTGATTTCCCATTTTTTCACAGTCCTGTTCATTACCAGTTTTCTGGCTGACGTCACAAGATGGCGTCCAAAGTCCTGTATTCAGTACTCAACGTTGAATTTTGAAATAACTGTTTGAGTTATAAAGGAATATTGAAATTTGAATCAGTTTCCATGTAAGCCAAAAAAGTGAAGAGTTTATTTCGTCTGTCTTACTGTCCAGGATTCGACAACTCTTCGTAACGTTCGTTCGRGAAATTGCGWCGTAGCTCGAGTGCAAACAGCGAGAGAGACTTGGAGCTTGTCTAAAAACTGTTTTTATGGAAATGAAAAGTCCTTTGTTGATCATCATGGATTTGTCGTTTCTTTTAGGAGGTCTCGAGAACTCGGCAATCCTTGTGAATACAGACAACAATAGTTATGCAGCCGCTCTTGCTGGATTCCTCGATCCGGCATTGAAACCATTCGGGCCTGGAACATGGATAAGATGTTTTCGTGCTGTACCAGGGCACTGGGATACCCGGATGTACTTTCATCCTCAGTGYGATGGCAAGAAACCAACTGTGACCATAATCCGTGTTCGTTTGTCCATTTTTGGTGGATTCACTGACAAGGCATGGCATTCAGGTGAGGATAACTATTAATCGTTGTCAACCATTGCCATGAGATTCAAAAGATGTTGGAGGAACGAACAATAGATATTAATGAGAAATCCTTTGTTGAAGTTCCTCCAAGATGGCGCCTGTGACGTAACTTGAAAACGAAGAATTGATTAAAAAAACGTTTGCATTGCACATTCCAATTTTTTGCTGAGTGACAAAACTGCTAATTAGATCATGTAATCTCTCTAAAAATTGCAGTTTTTATCTCTAAAAATTGCAGTTTTTAAAACCATTTGACGCAAAAACTATTTCGCATGGGAAGCTCAAAATTGCAAGGAAAGCTTATTGTGCTTTGTTTTTTCAATATTCAATGCTGATTTACTGATAGTTAAGTTAAACCGTAGTATACTTATGCTAATGATACGCTTATGAACCGGATTGTAAACAAACTATTCGCCTATTTAATTTGGCAGTTTTTCTCGCACGTTTATAACAAAAGTCACAAAATTCAAAAGGTTCGACGCTGTTACCGTTCAATAACAAGCCATAGATTCGTGATGATTGGTCAGTGACAAGCTAATAATATTTTTCCCCTTCAAATAGCACAAATAATAGTGCTTCTCATGGGGTCCGCTGACAAGTTCTCTTTGCTTATTCTTTCTTGATATGGTCTATTTTTCGACTTGTGGGGAAGCGTGAAATACCGACTTGTGGAGACCTCTCGGACCAGGAGTATGTTTGTTCATACAAAATATGTTTTGTAAAGTTTTGGTGCACATTTAGATACCAAGCAACCGTAAGAAGCATTGGGCAATAGGTTAATTTCATATTTAGAAAGCAATTTCAGCAAACAAACAAACCGAATTGTGGGGACCTGAATTTCTGGAATTTCTTTTCACCATGAGTCACAGCTGCCATCTTGGAGGAACTTTAACAAAGGATTTCTCATTAGTATCTATTGTTCATTCCTCCAACATGGTCGCCGGTCTTTTAACTTTTGAATCTCATGGGAGTGGTTGAAAACGAATTGAGTTGAAAACAATTCGAAGTGTGCATGACTTGGGGACATACATTTTTCTCATTGAACTTTGGTCTCCTGTTTGTCGAGTTGTATGTCATTAGTTTTTTCCCCTTCTTTTCTTCTATTTAGGCTCAGCGTATTCAGAATCAACCAAATCGTTTC